GACAAGCAGACGGACAGACGGACAGACAGACAAGTAGACAGACAGACAGACAGACCGACAGACGGACAGACGGACGGACAGACAGACAGACAGACAAACATGAACGCACCTCTGGCAAGTTGACGATGACTTCGTCTTCGTCATGGTGAAGCAGTGACGCCACGACGCGGCCCTGACAACGACGCAGGCAGCGTTCACCACACACACACACACACACACACACACACACACACACACACACACACACACACACACATACAGACACACGTGCATCAGTCGCGCGCACGTTCATGCATGTGCAGGTGTGGGGTACACCAAAGTCGCAGCACAGGGAGAGACATGATTAATGTGGTAAGGAAGAAGTGAGCCCAAGCAGCAGCCGCAGCGCATCATCTGCAGCGTATCATGTGCGTGCGGGTGTGGGCTGTGAACCACGCACTTCTTTCTTGAAGAGCACGTTGTTGCCATCCACGACAAAGGAACTGCCGCCAAGCGAGTTCTTAAACGTGGTCTTGTCACGCGTGACAAGATGGCTGATGGTCGGACACACGCCTGCAGCGCAAGCGAGAGCGAGAGAGGCAGAGAGAGAGAGAGTGTGTGTGTGTGTTGCGGAAGGGGTTGCAGTGTGAGGAGGCTGCAAGGACACGGAGTTTTGCGTTGACACACACACACACACACACACACACAAGCACACACACACACACACACACACACACACACACACACACACACAAGCACACACACACACAAGCACACACAAGCACACACACACACACACACAAGCACACACAAGCACACACAAGCACGACATGGCGCACCAAGGATTCGGGGATCTACGATAAACTGTGCGCCATCGGCGGCTTGCAGCTTTAATTCACAGCCTGGTGGTAACCCCTGCAATGAATTGAACCACAGTGTAAGTTTAATTGTGCCCAGCATGCGGCTTGAGTTCATCAAGCACTTGTGAACACCACCCTGCAACCACACCTGACACACATCACACACACACACACACACACACACACACACACACACACACACACACACACACACACACACACACACACACACACACACACATCGCACGTGACTTGTGATTCGCTTGTGCTTGCATGTACCTTGACCATGGTCGTTTCTGATGCTGAGGACGATGGCAGTCCCGTGCTGGTCATCCTGTCTGACGTGGGAGGAGGATGTGTGCCCAACAACACCACAACAAGCAAAGCAAAGCAAGCAGAGCAAACAAGCAGCAGACGTTGATGTGCTGCGGAACACCATAAAACAGCGCCAACGCGGTTAATGACAATTATGTGAAGATATGGCTAAGTTTCGTAAAATGGCGTGTAGGACTGCCAGCGTTTCAAGAAGTCCAAGCGAGACAACACAGCAGCACCACCCCTCCTCTAGCCCTCTCCCTCTCTCTGTCCATATCAGCGAACCTACCACCTCTTGCCACTTCAGCACCCTCTTGTGTCCCAGCACACCACGCGGCGGCGGCCTTCCGTGTGGCCATTTGCTTTTTCTACCAACTCCCACACCACTACATTCGCCGAACGCGGTGAGGGCGGGGAGATTGAAGGAACGCGATCGCTCTCATCATAGACATCATTTGCGATCATGCTGGCATCACAGCCTGCAGGCGTTTACATCATAGCTGAGGATCATGACGTGTGTGCTTGTGCGTGAGTGAGTGAGTGTGTGCGTGTGTGTGCTTGAAAACAAAGGCAGTGGAGCAACAGCTGATCTGCCACTGTCGCCTTGTTGTTGTTGTTGTTGTTGTTGTTGTCACAGGGCACTGGGGTGTCTCACCGCAGCATCTCCACCATTTTCCTCTCGTCCTCTTCACCCTCACACACGCACACGCGCGCGCGCGCTGCTGCCCCGCCCTTTGCAGACGTGTGGAACGATCCATTTGTGGTAATTTCACGCGAACAAGGCACGACAACAACTCTAAGAGGAACTCTTCGTCATGACAATTCGTGATGGCGCGCTTCCGGGCCAGGATGCAACTGAGCCCATCTACAAGTTCCACCTCCGCGGCCAGTGCGTTTCTTTGTGTGAATGTGAAAATGTATGCGTGTGTGTGCGTGTTTGCAGTGTGCGTGTGTGTAAGCTGTGTGATGTGCGTGTGCGCGTGCGTGTGCGTGCGTGCGTGTGTGTGTGTGTGTGTGTGTGTGTGTGTGTGTGTGTGTGTGTATGTGTGTGTGTGTGTGTGTGTGTGTGTGTGTGTGTGTGTTCATCTCTCTCGCTATGTGTGACATGAAGCAAGCATCCCCTTCCCCTGAAGAAGGTAGTGCTGCTGCAACGCGCAAGCATGCCCGATCACTCATTACGAACCCCATATGTCGTTTGCAACAACTGCATCTGCTCCTCCTGTCAGGTACTCGACCAAGAACAACCACCTTGTGGGGATGCGGCTGGCCCAGTGGTGGAAGGTTGTGGTTGGCCACTGGCGCGACATTGACTGGCGCCACTACTGGTTTCGTGTGCTCTTCCTCTTCATCATGGCATGCGTCAACACCGTGCTGACTGGGCTTGAGTACGTGTTCCACGGCCACCGCACAAGTGACGTCGTCATCAACAAGCGGCCCGTCTTCCTCCTGGGTGAGCGAACGAGCAATTGTGTGTATGTGTGGTTGAAATTATGTGTGCGTGCGTGTGTGTGTGTTGTGTGTGTGCTTGTGTGTGTAGTTCTACTTTGCAGCAACAACAAGCCTGAGAGCACGAGCACGAGCTATCAGTGATGCATCTCACGTCCCTGTCACCGCTCATTATATGCTTGTATCATTTGTTCCCGCGTTCGTTTCCATATTGTTCCGTTGTGCAGGTCATAATCGCTCCGGCACGACCCTGCTGCACAACCTCTTCTCCCTCAACACAGACCAGTTTCGCGTTCCCACAACCTTCAGCGTGAGAATGAAGCGTGCCCTGTTCAGCTGCGTGCGTGCGTGTGCGTGTATGTGTAGGTGTGTGCGTGCGTGTGTGTTGAACTTGCTTGTAAGCTGTCGATTGCCACCTCAGCGCGATGATGATGATGATGATGATGATGATGATGATGATGATGATGATGATGATGATGATGATGATGATGATGATGATGATGATGATGATGATGATGATGATGATGATGCGTGACACGATGCTGTGACTACAGGTTGGCTTCTCGGCGATTTATTTCCTGCTTTACCCAATTCGACGTGTGATGAATTCGATTGTGGACCCTTCCCGGCCTATGGACAACCTTCCTCTTTCCATGGATGTTCCACAAGAGGATGAGCTCGCCTACAACGTGCGTATGTGCGCGATTGTGTGCGTATGTGTGTATGTGTGTATGTGTGTGTATGTGTATGTGTGTGTGTTGTGTATGTGTTGTGTGTGCGTAAGCGTTACATGTGCGTGTGTGCATGCACAGTCCAAGCAGGAATGCACTTCCATTCTCACGTGCCCCGTCACATCACGCCCCTCTGCCATTCCACAGCAAAGCACACCACTCTTGTCTCCGTACGCCAACAACATATTCCCGCGCGAAGCAGATCACTACCACAAGTATTTTCGCATGATCGATGTCCCCGCCGAAGAAAGGGCCAGGTGCGTGTCGTCGTCGTGTGTGTGCGTGTGTGTTGCACGTGTGTGTGTGTGTGTACGTGTGTTGCATGTGTGTTGCATGTGTGTGCGGGTGTGTGTGTACGTGTGTGTGTACCTGTGTTGTGTATGTGTTGTGTGTGTGTGTGTTGTATGTATGTGTGTGTTGTATGTGTGTGTGTGTACGTGTGTGTGTGCGTGTGTGTGTGTGTTGCATGTGTGTATGTGTGTGTGTGTGGTACTGTATTGGTCGTGCACTTCAACCACAGCATGAACAGTGTTAACGCAAACGCGTTGACCCCCCTCACAACTCACTCAACCCCACTACCCCAACACGTTGACATTGCAGGTACATGGAATTGTTCCGGGCAATGGTGAAGCAGCTGAGCGTGCATGCAGAGGGGCGGCGCCTGTGCTTCAAATCGCCCCCGCACACAGCCAAGGTCGCGAATACGAGAACTTGTGTTGTTTGTAGCTGTTTTGTTCACTCTTCTCTTGCACCCCCTCAACGATGTGTGTATGTGCTTGTATGCGTATACGTGTGTAGATGTACATATATGTGTGTGTGCGTTTGCTCGTGCTTGTGTATCTGTGTCCAGAACAACTCTGTACCCTGCCAACAGCAAGGCAACTGCCATGATGATGATGATGATGGTTAAACGCGATGTTAGCTCATGGCACATCCCCTCCCACTCATCAAACCTGACCATCACCACCACTTCATCTGTGTGCAGGTGAAGCTGTTGCTGGAAGAATTTCCCGATGCGCAGTTTGTCTTTATCCACCGCAACCCATATCGCGTCTTCCGCTCCATGCTCCACCTCGCAGGTACGTGCGTGTGTGTGTGTCTGCATCTGTGTGTGTGTGTGCATGCGTGTGCGTGTGTGTGTGCATCTGTGTGTGCGTGTGTGTGTATGCTTGCATCTGTGTGTATCTGTGTGTATCTGTGTGTGTGTTTGTTTGCGTGCAAGTGGCAGTGTACCTGCATGCATTCGTTTGTGGGGTGAATTTTTGCTATTTGAGGAGACACCTATGACGATAACATCTCATGCCTGCAAGCAACCGTGATCTTCCGGTCCCGTCCAACAAAACAACCAACACAGCCAGCAAGAGTTCATGCTCAAGTTCTCATGTCCCAAGACTCGCACATGCTTTGTTGTTCAGACAACCTGTGGGGCCACTCGACTTTGCAGACAGCGAGCGATGCGCGGCTGTTGGAGACAATCCTGACCATGTACGAGGTGGTGCATGACGCGTACCTCGAAGATCGCAAGCTCATTCCAAAGGGAAACCTGGTGGAAATCTCATTTGACGAGCTGCAACGCGACAAAATTGCAACGGTGCGCTTGGTGTGAATGGCATAGAGTGCGGCTGGTGTGTCTGCAACGTGCTAACGTGTTTGCAGGCTTAGGGGCGTCTTGCCATGCTTGGTCGTATGTTCTTTACGTGCAATGTGGCTGTGCTTGTGGCTGTGCTTGTGGCTGTGGTTGTGCGTGTCTGCACTTTGCACACACACACACACACACACACACACACACACACACACACACACACACACACACACACACACGCACACGCACGCACACACACGCACGCACACACACACACGCACACACACACACACGCTCACACGCTCACTGACACTCACTGACACACACTTGCTCTCTCCGTCTTGCACACGCACAGATGCGCCGCATTTACGAGTCGCTCAAGATTGGCGGGTTTGAGAAGAGTGCTCTGCCGGCACTGGAGGCACACGTGAAGGAAATCAAGAACTACAAGAAGAACGCCTTTGTTGGCCTGACCGACGCGCAACGTCGCATCGTGAACACGCGATGGGCACGCTTCTTCACAGCTTTTGGCTACAAGATGCAGACGGAGGCAGGCGACGTACACATCTCCATGGCCTGATGCGCGGGAGGGGGAATGAAGAAAAGACATACAGTTTGCCTCTGCTGTGTGCTGCGAGCCGTCTTTTTGTTCGTTCAGTTACATTACACATGAAGACTTGCTTGGCTTGTGAGTTTGCCTTCCGTTTCTTTCTTTGTTTCTTTTTCGTTAGCCTTGCCTGCACGCGTTCAGTGCTTGCAGGCTCACTCAGGTTCTTCCTTCGTTTGGTGTCCGTGTGGTGCAGGCTTGTGGTGGGCGTGGGCTTGTGTATGCTTGCGCGAAGGCTTGTGTGGGCTGGAAGAAGGGAAGAACCAAGCCCCCCCCCCCCTCTCAACCTCAAACTCGCCCAGAAAAAAGACCTTCAATCCGTTTCAATCCTCTACCAGTTGCACAATTTGTGCTGTTCAGATCGGCGCTTGATGAGTCATCATTGACACCGCATCCACGACAAGCGACAAGACAATCCCTTTCTTCCCACACATGGTGGTCGCACACAGAGTCACAGTCAGAGCCGCCGACGCCCTTCTCCTCTTTCTCTCCTTGTTTCGTGTGTGAAGGAGACGCATCACACGTAAAGCCCAGCCTGTTGTTGAGGTCACCAAAGAGTTACCGACACGAGCAACTTTTGTTCTTCTCTTGCTCTGTGCATCGTCGTCCTTCGCGTCGCCCTTGCTCGCTTTCCGTGTCCTTTTGTCTTGTGTTGTTTTGTTTTGGTGTGTCATCCGTCCACCTCCACCTTTCCTCCCTGTCGTCCATTTTCTTTTGCTTGCGATTTCGCCCGACTCGTGCAGCTTGTGACCAGCACGCCCATGACAGAGCTGGTGCAGTCGTCGTGGTCGCGAGATCTGGAAGACCTTGAACACATGAGCCAAGATGGCGAAGATGGCGGCGCATCCAGCCGCCATTCTGACGAACACCTCAAATCCCTCATCCGTGCAGGTGTGCTTGTGTGTGTGCTTGTGTGTGCTTTTGTGTGTGTGTGTGTGTGTGCTTTTGTGTGTGTGTGTGCTTTTGTGTATGTGTGTGTGTGTGTGCATGCGCGCGCGTGTGTGTGTGTATGTACCTTCATGATTGCGATGCCCTCGACTCGCTTAGTCTCGCGCTCACGCATGTGCTCTCCTCTTCCATCTCCCCTCCAACCCACACCCCCTCAATAAACCTCCCTCCCCCTCCACCCGTAGGCAAGTGGGAAGAGCTGGAGCACGTGCTTGCCAAGGACACGGAGCGCCAGTTGCGCGACTACGAATACGACGGCGTGTACTGGTGGATCCCCGCGCCGCTGACGCTGCTATCGCGGCTGTGGTTCCTTTGGACGCCGCTGCAGTTTGCCAGCATGTACGACCGCACTGGTCGCTCCACACGCCTCCTGCTCAAGTACGGGTGTGACCCAAACGCGGCATCAACCATGCAGACCACGCCCCTGCATCTCGCCGTCTACTACAACCACGTGGACGTCGTGCGCGTGCTGCTGGACCACACCGTCAGCGTGAACGTTCGCGACAAGTACGGCAAGACACCGCGCACATACGCGCGCACGCGGGAGATGCGTGATCTCCTGCAGCAGGCCACTCGCCGCTCCCACGCGGAGGTGGAGATAGGTGACATGTTCCAGATGATTGAGTGTGTGCGCAGCCCGCACATGTCCGTGACGGAGAACGACCCCGCCTTCCATCGCGTGTTCAGCGAGACGGACGCGGCACACGAGGATGCACTCGTGCCTGCAGGCAGACAGCGGCGTGCAACACTCCCAGCACCACCGCAACATCACACCGGTAATGGCAACACCAACGGCAATCGTCGCAACACAGCGCACCAGCAGCACAACAATGGTGATGGTGTGCAGATGCACAGAAGTGGCAGCGACGCGTCTGGCCTGACACGGGCGCTGGGAGCGGTCAAGCGCATGATGCCACACGCAGCATGTGGTGGCGGTGGCAGTGACACGCTCTCCGAGGATGAAGAAGAGGACTGCTACGCTGTCGCCGGCCGTGGCCGTGGTGGTGATGGTGGCATGCATGATGGCAAGCACGGTGATTACAGCCACCGCAATCACCACGATGATCATCAGCGGCAACAGCAGCGGCATATGCCGTCGTATCATCACTTTCAGGACAGAGCAAAGGCGCAGGAAGCAGCTGCATGTGGTGGCGGCGGTGTGCATGTGCACGTGAGCGATGGTGATGTGGATCACATGCACAGGGCACAAACACCGCCACCGCCCTATGAACACGTTGAGCACGAGAAACAGCAGCAGCAGCAAGCGACTGGACAAAGTGGTGATGGTGATGATGGTGGCAGTGATGTGATGGCTGAGAGGATGGCATCAATGGCGGTGTTGTTGGAGTTTTCGCTCATCGAAAGCACGCACATTCAGCTGCAGAAGAAGGTGCGTTCGTTGTGCCCAATAGAAGCGTGTGTGCGTGTGTGTGTGTTTAACTTTGTGTGTGTGTGCGTGTGGTGTACATGTGTGTATATGTGTGAATGTGTGTGCGTGTGGTGTACATGTGTGTATATGTTTGAATGTGTGTTTGCCATTCCTCACACGACGCTACATGGGCTCTTGCCCACGTGTGTGTGTGTGTGTGTGTGTGTGTGTGTGTGTGTGTGTGTGTGTGCAGATTGGACATGGTGGCTTTGGCGAGGTGTTTAAGGGGGTGTGGCGTGGCAGCACGGAAGTTGCTGTGAAAGTCCTCGGGCAGGAGTCACACTCCTCCCTCCACATCACAAACGACAAGCTCGTCGCAGAGATCAAGGTGTTTTCGTGCGTGTGGTGTGTGTGTATGTGTGTGTGGTGTGTGTGTGTCCGTGTGATGTGTGTGATGTGTGTGTGTCTGTGTGATGTGTGTGATGTGTGTGATGTGTGTGTGATGTGTGTGTGTGTGTGTGCAATTGTACCTGTAGCTGAAGCGTCGTGCCCACCTTGTTTTCGTGTCATCGTCTCATTCATCTTCGGCATGCACTGTCTGTCGAGTTGACTCACCACCGTCACCATCATCCATCCACCCATCCACCCATCCACCCATCCATCCACACATCCATCCATCCATCCATCCACCCATCCACCCATCCATCCACCCATCCATCCATCCACCCATCCACCCATCCACCCATCCACCCATCCACCCATCCATCCATCCATCCATCCGTCGACCGTCGTCGTGCAGGTGCTGAGCACGATTGACCACCCCTGCCTCATCCATTTCCACGGCGCAGCGTTTGTCGGTTCGTCAACACAAACACCCCATACGAGCAGTGAGAGTTGTAGTGGTGGTGTTGATGGTGGTGGTGGGTGATGGTGGTATTTTGAGCACGTTTAGCAGCTGCAACCAACAGTGGTCAACGCATGCATGCGCGGTCACGCCACCTTTGCGGCTTGTGTTTGTGCTTGTGTTTGGTGTTGTGCGCGCTCACACGCAATGTAGCTCATCAAACATGCTTGATTGTGTCGCTCACACACAACACACACACACACACACATGTGTGTGTGCCATCATGTGCTTCTGCCCACCAGAGGACCACCTGTGGTTGTGCATGGAGTATGCGACGGACGGGTCGCTGTTCACCTTTCTGCACTGCACCAACAAGCCCTACTCCCTCGCCTCTGTCACCAAGTGGTCGCTCGGTGTCGCTGAAGGTGTGTGTTTGTTTGTGTGTGTGTTTGTTTGTTTGTTTGTTTGTTTGTTTGTTTGTGTGTGTGTGTGTGTTTGTTTGTTTGTGTGCATGCGTGCGTGCGTTTTTGTGTTTGTGTGCGTGTGTGCGTGTGTGTGTGTGTGTATGTGTGTACGTGTGTGTGCATGGTTTGACTGCAACCTCAGTCTCACGTTTTCCCGCCATCATCGTTGCCTGCAGGCATGCTGTATCTTCACCAGCACGGCCTCATTCATCGCGACCTCAAATCACCAAACGTGCTCCTCACTCGAAACGCAATGACATTCTCAGGTGCGTACCCTTGCTACGTATGTACGTGTGTGTGTGTGTGTGTGTGTGTGTGTGTGTGTGTGTGTGTGTGTGTGTGTGTGTGTG